TGGTGGTCTATGTAGGATCTGGCTGCCTTAACCACTAGGCTACTGGCTGCCCAAAACATGTATTCCTTTTCAAATGTAAAAGAAAAAAGTTGAAAAAGGAATATGGAACCAGTGAAAGGTAACTTACCAAGAAGAAAAGAAGGACTTTACCCAACTTATCAGGAAAAGGCAAACGCAACGATACGCCCTGAAGGTGGTGACACGGGTGCCAGGCGGCTGAACCCCTCCTGCCTGACACCTTGGCAACACAAACACGCTGCCCTCTTTCAATATGCTGACTCCTTGAGACCCAGTAACCGGCCAAGGGGAGAGAGGGCTCCTCTGCTCTAGAGGGACTGCTGAGTCGGAGCAGGAGAAGAGGGGAAACGCTGCAGCCAGGGCCCCCAGCAGGGATCCGCACCCTTGAAAGCCTCCGAGCAACTGGCACTGTGACAGCAAGCCTGGCCAATCCCGGGCCCAGCTAATAGCGGGCTGGATCTCCAACTCGGTTACCACCAAGCCCTGGCGAGGAGTGTTGGCACAGCAGAGGCGATGGCAGAGCTGTGGGCATCCCGCAGCTGCTTCTTAGCAGAAGGATGCAAAAGCTTCAGGACTGGGTCCGGAAAGCCATGGGATAAGACAAGCGTGGAGAATCCCAGAAGCATTTGAGAAAAAGCTACCAGAGGCAGAACATCTGAATGATACTTCAGGGGTTTTTTAATGAATGATATTCAGGTTTCACTACCCTGAGCTTTTACTATGTGGAAGGCACAGTTCCAAAACCAGGGAGCAAGGGGAATGTGGGATTTTTTTTTTTTTTTTTTTTTTAGGTTTTTTCCCAAGGGCATGTGCACTCACCGGAGAAAGAGACAGTGAGAAATCATCCCCCGGGGGATGGCCATGTCACAATCCCTTCTCCATTCTCTCCTAGGGTTTTGGGCACGCACACTCACGCTCTCCCAGTGTGATTTTCAAGGTGCCAGGTCAGCCACTGCCATTGGCCATGTGGGAGTCAAGCACCTTAACCACTATGCCACCTGCTGGCCCCAAACATGAAATTCATTAAGTTGAATTGGATGAAGATGGGAATTTCTTAAGGATCAATGGAAATACATTCTCGTAGGGGAGAAAAGGAAAACCAGCACACTACCCAGTGCGTGGCTCCGTTACAGCAATGGAAAGAGCGGCGAAGCGGCCATCGATCCGATCCAGCTATGTGACTGGTGTCAGCGGAGGAAGGCGCCCAGGTAACTGCTGTTAGGACCTGAGCGTGAGGATTAGCTTAGCAAAGGAGAGGGGGAGCAGAGGTGGAGGGAGGATTCAGGCCTCGAAGGGCGGAAAACCGGCATATTCCAGACACTGAGGTGACTGCCCAGACACAGAAGTGGGAGAGGGTACGGGCTGGGAGGGAAGCCAGGGCCATCAGCAGCGCCTTAAGAGGCCATGTTAAAGATCTGGGGTTTCAGAGAGGTTTAAAAAGCAATGGCATAGTCTAATATTTATCCAAAAGCTGGCAGAGTCCAGGGAACATTCAAGTGACAAAGAACCTCCATTGTCCTTGTTACAGAAGAGCCTGGGCGTCCACAGCTGCACAGCCAGTACCTGGGGGTTGCATCAGGATCACATTTTAGGTCCTTCAAAAGCGCTTTCTCCACCGAGGCCGCCACTAGGGGGAGTGGGGGAATGACGCGGTGGGAGGCAGCAGCCCCTCTAGAAGAGGCCAGCGAGGCCCCATGCTCCCTTTCACGGGCAGCAGCTCAGCGCCCAGCAGTCCTGGCGGAGGTGGCGCCCAGAGGAGCAGCAGATGACAGACCCCGTAGCTGTCGAGACTCAGCAGTACCAGGTCGAGCGTGTTCAGGACCCTGAGCGTGGAGGCAGCACGACACACCTGCCCCTAGCCCTCGTGTTGGGCCCCCCAGGATGCCAGCAGCAAGGGTACGGTACCAGGCTGAGAGCGAAGGCGAACAGGAGCCCCGGAACCATGGCTCCCGGCGGAGCGCGGCTGAACGCCCGGAGGGTAGGACCCCGCGCCGAGGGCGCCCGCACCAGGCTCAGGTAGGCCTTCGGCACTAGTTGGAAGGCGACAGCCAAGAAGGCCACAATGGCGTAGGCCAGGACGGCAGGGCGTGTGGCTCAGGGCCAGGCGGGTGGCAGCTCAGGCTGATCTGTGTGGCAAAGGGCGGGCAGTGTGGGGGAACCGTAGTGGGCGGCCCGGCGGCAGCTGGCCTCGGGGAAGGGCCTGTGGGCCGCGCCCAGGTAGCCGCTGAGCCATGGGCAACGTGAGCGCAAAGAGCACGGCAGGGCGGGGCGCAGGGCCTGGCCCAGGGCGGCCACGTTGGCCGGCAGCCCCAGGCCCTGCGCCCAGGCGTAGGCTGCAGGCACCACCAGGAAGCGAGCGAGGTCATGCAGGGGCTGCAGCCACCAATCCCAGTCCCCAACACTGCTGTTCATCTCTGCCCTGAACGAGGCAAGGGGTCACTGTGGGGCCAGACAAAAAGCCCCCGTGCCTTCCCTCCCCATCCCGGCCTTGTGGCTTTCAGGCCCAGCTGGGAGGGACACTGGAGGCAGAAGTCCATGTGAGAGAGGAAGAGGAGCGACCAGAACTCAGCCGGGGACACTGGGCACGGCCAGCATCTTGGTGACAAGCTGTGGGAAAGGAGAAGAGGCAGCAGTTCCAGCATCTTGGCAATTTCCAGCCTGGTAACTGGGAGGTCGGGGGTCGCACTCCAGATGGAGTATGGTGCAGACATGGGGACCCCGCCTAAGTCAGGAGCAACCAAAGAAGCCAGGCTGGGATGTGGGGCAGTCCTCCCCAGAAAGAGCCCTGACCCCTCCTCCCTGTACCTCTCAGACCAAGATGGAGGAACAGCTGTGACACGGTGGCGGAGGACGGGACTTGCACAGGTGACGGGCCTGTCCCTGGGAAGTAACCACGGCTCGGCTGGAGCACCCTCGGAACACAGAGGATCCACCTCTCTCAAGCCTGGTAGCCTGCTTCCTCCTTCCCCTCCTTAGACCACAAAGAATCCTGGGTCCACTCCAGGCTTTGGACAGAGGGCAAGGAAAGCACAGGCGGCAGGCAGGGACCTGGCTCGTTCTGGACACGCACGCGCCTGGGCAGATTACTCAGCAGCACGGAGTCTGCCTCCCTGTGTGAAGTGAAGGTGGAAATACCTACCTCACAGGCTTGTAGGGAGGCTTCCGAGAAAACACGCGCGACAGCCGTGGCTGCCTCTGGGAGATCCCTACATTGTTAGCTCCCTCCCTCCTAGGTGACACACAGATAAGCCTGTACACACACAGGGCTAGTGACAGCCATGCCACGCCGACAAAGCAACACAAACATCTGGGCAAGTTCCTGCCTCCCCCAGGGGTAAGTGCCCAAGTCAATGCCCTGGGACTAGTTTTCACACACACGCGCACACATACATGCACCTAGGGTGTCCCCACTCAGTTCCTCTAGTACCCAGACTGAACTTCTGCCTTTGAGCCTCTCAGGCTTGGGTCCTGGCTGGGGCCCTGAGTGAATGCATTTGTCTCCTCCTCCCTGTCTATCCTCCATGGCTCCAGCACTGATCGCCCCCCACCATACGTCTCTCCCTGCTATCCCAACAGTTTCTCTCTTATCTCCTGCTGTTTTGGTTGCTAGTCTCTGGAGTCTCTGCTTGGAGGAGCTAAAATCGGGCAGAATCCCCTCCCACCCACATAGCCCAGACCCTTGCACCAACAGGCTAATCTCAGGACACACGTGGAATGGGCCCAACAGCTGGAGGGGCTGGAGCCCACCTGCATCAGCTGTGAGCCAGGGCTCCAAGGGAAGAGTGTCCCTGCAGGGCAAGAGAAGCATTGGGAAGACAGCCCAAGGCAGTGGAATGCCACGGTGCTGAGCTGACCTAATGTAGGCTGAGGTTTGGAGGCCACTTCCCTGAGATCTGGCTTCTTCTTGGGCCCCTGAGGAGGCCCTGCTGGTGCTCAGGACATTTCTGCTGCTAACAGCTCATCCACACCCGCTGGCCAGCCTCCCCTTCCAGCACCCTGTCTTTCCTACAGCTGCTGGGTCAGCCCTGCAGCCAAGCTTTGGGGTCCAGTGCTGCTAACGGCCCATGGGCCAAGCCTTGGTAAACAGGAGCTCACACTCTAATGGCAGCTGTAAAAGGTTTCACGCAGGGTCCTAACTGAAGACAGGCCGGCTGTGGCATCCCAAAAGAAGGGAGAAAGAATGAGGCCAGGATCTCAGGGCTCCAGCTCTACCTTCAGGGACTTGAACATTTTCATGTAGAGGGGTAATTCGAGAGCAGGGCAGATTTAATCCTCAAACTGAAGATGGTAGGGGTGCCATGCGGCCCATTTTCAGCTTTGGCAGCTGACAAGAGTGAATGTGTAGGTTCTGGAATCCACTGAAGCTCAGTTCTAGTCTCAGGTCTGACACTGAGCCATTTAAGCTTCCCCAATCCTTTTTGTCATCTGGAGAACAAATTGATGTTTAACAATAGCTAGTATTTACTGAGCAATATTATGTGGCAGGCTATGAAATGTTTACATTTATTACCCACATTTGCGAATAAGCCAGTAAGTGGCAGTAACCACTGTCCACCCCCACTCCCACCCTTGCTGACCAATGTGGGTGACTCAGTCTGAGTCCATCATGGGAATGCTGTTCTCCAGCGGCGGTCTAAGGATGAAAATGAGCACAACTGTGGCCCATGAGATGTGAGAGGGCATCCAGAGCCTTCCTTTTTTTTTTTTTTTTTTTTTTTTTCACCTTTCAATGTTCTGTGCAAAAGTGCTGTTGAGAGCTGCAGCAGCTATTTTGGAACTTGGAGGCCAGTGGCCAATAAATTGAAAGCAGCAGAGCAGAAGTCAAAAGAATGTTGGTTTGTCATATCATGACTAAGTAGCAAATTAACCAGCACTGAAATGGAAGCTATATTGTCCCTGGGCCTCCTGAGAGAAGTCTCCTGTTTCGACACTACATATATTTCTGTACTACCTACTCATCCATCCTTCCCATACAGAGAGCGGAACGCTGAGCTTTCAGAACAAGAGGGACAGATGCAACCACAGGGAGCTTGCCTGAGCGGGTGCTAGCCAGTGAGAGCAGGAATTCCCGTCCTGCTGTGAGCACGAAATGGGAGTGATACACAGATTTCTTTCAACCCTGTGGGCTCCCAAATGCCACTGTTCCTCCCCCTCCAAGCAATCTGTAAGCTGGTAGCTGGGATATCTGCAGAAATACATGAACTCTTGACAGTAGATGCTCTAACAGTTGTCCACTTTGTCTCAGTAACTCGCACATGCACACGCATGCACACGTATCCCCCTTCTGACCTCCAAGGGCCTTTCCGATTCCTCCCAGGCTTGGGCCCCGCTATTCCATTCGGTGTTCCATGGAGCTGGTGTCCCCCACCTCCATGTTGCTGTCAAGGAGCGCTAGACCGAGTGCCACAGTCACCAAAGGCTGGCGATTCAGGTCCTGTGAAGACTCAACATCTCTGTTAGCTCAGCAGATCTAAAGTATGAGATAAAAAGGGATGAGGGGATCCCTCAGGTGGCTTGAAGGGCACAGGCAGGTACTCAAACTCTGACAGTCAACGTGTACAGGTTAAGTGTATACTCTAAACCTTACAAATGTTTGTGCATTTGGAACCAGCATCCTCACTGCTGGGGAGAGAGTAAGTGTGCAAAGGCGATTTATTGTGAGCTTTATAATGGAAAACTGGGAACCAAAGTACTCCTTGTGAATGCAGCCTTACAACAAAACCCTCTGCAGACACTAACATGGATGAGGTAAAGAAGATATGTGTTACAATATGTTGGTTTCAAAAATAGGTAATAATATATACAGTCTCATTTTCATTGAAAAAAGATGTATCTGTACCAAGGCATAGAAACAAAAGTGGCTATTCTGGAGCACTGAGTTTTGCGTTAAGCTTCCTGCCTGCCATCTCCTATGTTCACAGGACGTGAGAAATGTTAGCATGTGTAACATGTACCCCTCAAAAAAGAACAGTAAAGTTAGAGGGAAATCGCAGTCAGGTAGACAAGATGTCTCCTTCAACACCTGGCGACCCTGGTCATGCTGGTAATGAGGTGTTAGACTGTGCCAACCGTGTTCCAGTTATGACAGCGGCGTGGACAAAAAGGCAGAGACTCTCTCCACCCGGGACTCCTTGAATGGACCTGGGGTTCTCTTCCTCGGAGGTCTCACCACCTTTGAAGTCTGGGCTAAGACCTGGCAGGCGTTCAGCAGCAGCAGAAGCCCCAGGCAGACGATGGCTGGGGTGCAGGTGCTCAGGGACTGTTTCAGAGAAGCCAATGTGAAGATGGCCACTGGAATGGAAAGCAAGGTCCCTGCAGCTCCCTGGAGTGCAGCACCCAGGAGATCCAGGAGCCTGGGGCTCCCAGCCTGGGCTGACTACTCAAATCTAGCCCTCCCATTACAGCCAGCCCACCATTAACCCCACACACACATCCCCCAAACCAGCTGCACCCATCCCTCTCGCCTCCCGGGACAGCAGGACCAGGAGAGGCAGAAGGCTCTTCAACTTATGAGGCCCCTCTCGGAGGCCAAGAAACAGAAAGTCTAGACAAATGGGTCCAGGCTGAGGTGAGTAGCTGGGGACTTGGAACGACTCTCCGTGATCTCCCTGAGGGAAGGAGGCTGGGGGATGGTAGAGAAGTTACGAATCTGAAAACGAGGGAAGATGGAAAACAAGCCTAGGGGACAGGGTGTTGGTGGCAGCAAATGACGCAGGCCAAGGGACACAGAAGAGCCTGAATGGGAACCAGCAGTTAGCGTAATGGCTATGTCGCTGGACTCTCATGTAGTCGACTGCGGTTCGCGTCCCAGACCTGGTGGCTTAAAACTCACACCAGGCGCGTGTGCGTGCGTGCCCAAGATCCCGAGAGGAAAATGGAGGAGAAGGGATTGCGGTGTGACCATCCCCCCTGGGGGGTGATCTCGCTTTCTGTCTCTATGTCTCTGTCTGTCTGGTGAGCGCACGCGCACTATAGCAAAAATCTCTCAAAAAAAAAAAAAAAA